CGAGCCGGTTGCTCTCCATACGAGGTCGCCTTCATGAAATGTCCTCGGCTTTAAGTTGGAATTAAAGCGTCGGCTCATTCGTTGTTTACAAGCTTTAGATGGGTTGGATCGGATTCTGACCGGGACGGTACAACTTTATTCTTCTTTTCTTAATAAAAAAAAAAGGTATAACGATCTATTAAAAGTATAAACTAAAAAATGATTATTTACGACGTATTTTGTAATGGCTTACCATTATCTCTACACTTAAAATCGACTACTAACAATGGAAAATATAACATTTGCTTAAGGTTCACATAATTATAGATCTTGAAAAAATATCATAGTACACTATACACACACACACACACACACACACACACACACATATATATATATAGATATATATATATATATATATATATGCAATAAAGTTATGCAAAAGCAACTAAAAAACTTTACAAGTACATAACCCTAAATCCGAAATATGTATGTACAGTAATCCAAAACTATAACATATGATCCTAAGTTATCGGTCAAACAACTATAACAAAACTATACACACTATCACTAATAGCAGCACTAAACCACCCACCAACAACATGGCTCCATAAGTCATTAGCATCCAACTTTTCCCTACCTGTTCCCATATAAACATGATCATTACAATTCAACCACTATGAAAATATGCAAGGATAAGTTAAGGTATAAAAGGAAAAACGTACAACAAGTATAAAAGCAAAACAATTATACTACCAACCCCAATGTAAATCATACAATAGAAGAACTCATGGTATACAACATATCATCACAACAATTACCTCAATGTGACATTCAACATTTTACAAAGGTAAACACCTCATTCATGTCACAACATATCAATTTTCACCACGCCATTCAATAATCTAATCATACAACATATGAACAACACCTAAATCATTACATCATATGCACCATACCTCAATTAATGTGTCATCACACATTCACTTGTAGAGATCTCCTACGACAAAGGTGAATAATTTAAGTGATTTAATCTTATCGAACCAACATGACCTTTTTACACATGTTAGGTCATCAACCCAATGGGATATCAATCCTTACAAGATGATTTCTCGGATGTCGTCACTTAAATTATGAAAGTTTAATATCATCGTCAACTATATCATAGTTTAGACATGAGCTTACCACAATATTAACATGTATAACCAAGTCCCCTATGGATCGACTAACTATCTTTGTGATACCACACACCTCTCCAATAATTAGTTAAGGATTTTGTAGTCCTCAAATGCATGCCTTACTTCAAGAGATAATGCTTATTCAAGAAGGATTTTTCAACAATTGAACTCATAGTGCACCACACTAATACTCACACAATAGAATATCTAACTTTCAAAAACATCATCTCTTTTAGTTCTAGGTCAATCAACATGCTTAAATTCTCATAGTACGATTTTCAACATTAGCACCTCAACAACATTCGTCTATATACATTACCACAAGTCAATGGATATATATTTATATTTATATAATATGTATAAGAAGAATTCACTTACTTCAATAATAAGTTCTCAATATATAGATCAAATTTGTATGTTCTTAAAAATTTTAAAAGGCATTTAATACTTTGTTTCATTAATTAAAATCAGCATATAAAATTATTTTATAATTTTTCGTTAATTGGAATAAGCGAAACAAAATTTCAAATAGTCTTTAACTTTTTAAAAATTTACAAACTTGATTTATACATTAAGAATTTTGAATTTAATAGTTGGATTGTTAAAATTTGATATAAAATATAAGATATTAAATAAAATATTTCTTTATATATATATATATATAATGTAAACATTCAAATTGAGGAAATTAAAATTCAATAAAAAGTAGAAAGTGATCACACACATTGAGAAAACTAAAAACACATTTGCAAATTGGAAGTGCAAGTATCATCAAACACCTACACACAAGAGTTGAGTAGGTCCCATAAAAGAGGGCTACGGCTTCGGCATCTCCATCTCCTTCTCCTTCTTCTCCTTCTTCTCTCCATCCCACAAATCCAAACATTGCCATGATTATGATAGTGGGAATGGGAACCCTGGCGGCCGCCTTCCTTTTGTTAACGCTCTT